GAGGTAGGTTTAGACTGCCGTTTTTTGTATTTTTCGGGTTTTTTTGTTTTTTTGCTTCGCTGGCGATCATCAAAATTTTGTAATTTTATTGGCTGTTGATCACATGATGTGCCTCCGCTTTAGACGACCTCCAAATATAATTTGATTGGTTAATTATCACGGGTGATCACGGGTAGATCAACAAAAATTAGCCAATCAAACGAATTTCTTCCTATGAGGTCTGACTGTACCACGTAGATCATATGAAAAATGATCTACATTCACCCTACCCTTAACGTTAAAAATTTTATTCGGTAGGATTTATCAGCTTCACAAAAAAATGCAGCGACAAGTACGTTCCATAATAAATGTACTTCTCAAAGGCACATTTTCTTTACAAGCGCGAACAATATCGAGACGCTCATTGACAATAGCAACTACACATGGCTCACATGGTTCACATGGCTCATCGCTTTCTAAAAGATTACAAGTTAGGCCAAGAACCTTACGTCCGGGTAAGTTTAAATTTTAGCGATCAAAAATTATGAGTTTCGTGTTACTAACTATAATTTTAAACGTATTCTTTAGTTCGTACTATGTTTATTCAAGCAGAAGTTACACCTAACCAGGATTCCTTAAAATTCATTCCTGGGGTTCCTGTAATGAAAGAAGGTGGCACAGCAGAATTTCTTTCTGGAAATTCTGCTTCGATTTCACCTTTGGCTAAAAAGTTATTTCAAATAGAAGGTGTTCGTGGTGTATTTTTTGGTCCAGACTTTATTACCATAAGTAAAGATCAAGATACACCATGGCAATTAATGAAACCTGACATATATGCAAATATTATGGACTTTTTTGCATCAGGTCAACCTATAATAACAGAAGCTCAACCACCATCCGATACAGAAATCAAGGATGATGATCCCGAAGTTGTTCAAATGATCAAAGAACTATTGGATACTAGGATTAGACCTGCTATACAAGATGATGGTGGTGATATCGAATATCGAGGATTTGATAATGGAATTGTGAAATTAAAATTAAAAGGTGCTTGTAGATCTTGTGATTCATCAGTAGTGACACTTAGAAATGGGATCGAAAATATGTTAATGCATTACATTCCCGAAGTCACTTGTGTAGAACAAGTATTGGATGACGAAGATGTCATTTCGCAACGTGAGTTTGAAAAATTTGAGAAAAAATTAAATTCATAAAGATAAAAAGTGCAATTTATTACATAATCATATTTTTGTATATTATAATATATCATGTTTTATATGATCTTTAAAAAAAAAAATAAAGGAATTGCTAAATATTTAAATATTTGCAAATTAATAATATTGCAGTATCTTCATACACACCTTTATGTACAACATTTTCTTCAGCTGTTTAAGCGCCCCCTTCATTGTCAGTTTGAGGCATGGCGTAAAGTTGCGTGTACATCCTGACCAAGGAGTCATAACCCATAAAATCCCCGCAGCGAAGCAAATTTGCTAATATAATGAAGGATTAATAATCAACTAAATTTATATATTAAGCTTTTCATATAATGTCATCTTACCAGCGTCACAATTTAATGGACTGGTGGGTTCTGGATTTGATAGCAACAACCTAATCGCCATACACGCAGATTGTAAAGTCCACGCAGGACTCCACGCGGCCTTCAGAATGTCCAAACAGATTTCACCTGTCTGCAAAGAATCTAATTATTTAATGTTTAGTATAAAAAAAAAAAAAAAAAAAAAAGAAAAAAGAAATCGACAATTTACATTGAACTCACCTTGAAAGATATATTTGGATGACAGATCTTGGTCAAAAATTTCATTTTAGGCGGTTGAATAGGATAATTTTTTGGTATCTCTATACGCAAGGTCCATTGTCCGCCTGAAAAGAAAAATCAATGATGCATGCAAACTACCAGGGTCCATTTAGTTAAAAAGACATACCTTCATAAGGAGTATCGGCCTCTCCTCGCAAGACTGCCTTCCAGATTAAAATATTGTCTTCTTGTATCGGTGACAATTCAACAAGATCTGGATTAAGCTCTCGTTGATAGTCTTTGAGTTCTTTAAGTAGTCTTCGTGAAACTGCATTTACCATTTTGCAAGATTAGGCTGTAATCTAAAAGCACAATAGATTTAACTTTTATTACTTTTATTGTCCAATACTATATCTGGCTAGTGTTTTACAAAGCATCATTGATTCATTTACACCAATCAGGAGACAAAAAAACCAGATAAATTTTACATTTCTCAATACTTACACCTAATAACGTCTGACAAATGTCTTCGCTTTCATTCCTTCTCGCACCTCGAAACCGCAAAGTAGAATTCGATGTAGAAATTATAATTCACGAATTGACCAACATTCCTTCAGTATCTGGGTTATACTATGTAAAATGGAGGTTGAAAAATGGAAATAAACGGCGCGACGCAACTCAAAGGTTTGTTCATGGGCGCTAATTAAAGCTTCGTTCTAAACTGGTCGGTCTTTCGGTTCTAAAAGTTTTTATTGTTATTTCAGAGTGGAAATAAAAGATCACTCGGTTTTATGGGATTATAAAATGCGGAATTCTGCAAAGATTATTATTGGGAAAGACGGCTTTTTGATGCCTTGCGAACTGCGTCTTACAGTGAAACAGGTACGAAAATTTGATTTTGGAGAACATGTAAAGTTTCTGATTGTTTATGTTTGACATTAGGAATTGAATGGTGGCAAAGAAATAAATAATATTGGAAGATTATCTCTTAACATTTCCGAGTACGTCGGATTGAATAATGTGACCAGACGGTATTTACTACAAGATAGTAAAATAAATTCGACTCTCAAAGTATTATTTATCTTGTTATATCTAAATGTAAGAGTCTTTGATTATTCTTCGATATATAACAACTTTAATATTTTCCTAGTTAACGATTAACATGAAACAAACTCTTGGAGATGTAGTATACAAAGTGTATGTTTGCAGATTGTTGATCTATATGAGTGCCGCCAAGGGAAAACCTGAATCCGGAAAGTACAGGTTATTAAAATCATTAGTAATTCATCGTGATGAGATATTAACCTGTACTTTCCGGATTCAGGTTTTCCCTTGGCAGCACTCATATTTACATTGATATTTTTTCAAAATAAATTGATCGTACTCATATTAGAATTTATTATTTTTAACAACATTTAGGCCTCTTCTCAAAAAAACGCAAATATTTGGAGGTCTTGCAGGAATAATATCTGAACAAGCAGAACAAGATGATGAAAGATTAGGTAATTTAAACTATAAATCGGCCATGAAAAGTATTGATTTGTATATATAAATTAACTATCTATCTCGAATTCTTTGTAAATGACTAACTCTAGGATTAAGCCCAAATTTTGGTCCAAACTATATGAATCGCTCGCGATCATTAGCTTCTCTCGTTTGTATTGCTACGTGTATTACATTTGATTTTTTAATTCATCTTGATCATCTTGAACGAATTTATTTGTGTACACATTTTTTAGAGATCCGAAAATTATACGCAATCGACCAAGGCTACTATAGCTTCACAATCTTCGGCAACCAATTCTTTTATTACCAAGATTGGAAAGGCTGGAAACAAATCACACACTGATGTAGTTGAAGAGATCTTCATGGGTACAACAGTTTTTGACGATGAAGATAATAGATCGGTGCATACCACCGCTAATTAACTTAGTCACAATACGTTCGTAGGTAAGCAGTCATCATCTATTCTCTCTTATTCTCGCAAGCATCATTAATGTTCTGCAAGGCCTAAGAAGATTTAAAATTCTTGTGCAGTCAGACCTCCCTAAATGCATTTATAAAAAATTGCATTTATGGAGATCTTGTATATATTTGGAGTTACTTTTTTGAAATTTATAATCATGTGATAATTATATTACAAGCCAGCAATCATATTTAAGTTTTTTTTTTTAGTTACGCAAACAACTTTTTTTTAAAAAAAATAACTTAGATACGAATGATTTATTTAAAATGGTTATTACACGAATTGCTTTGTTTAAAAGCTTTTTACATAAAGGTTGTTTTTATTAAAACAAAAAAAAAATTCTCGCGTGCAAAACAGATTTTTTTGAAAAAGGTTCACGCGAAAATCGTTTAGAAAGCATTCAATGCATTAAAAGTTTATCGCGCGATCACTGTTTTAAAGAAAAAACATATCTATCAATTGTGTTTTTTTAATGACATTAGCAAATATTTTTAAGAACTGAGTTTTTCTTGACGATTATCACATGATATGAGTAATGATTAGTGTTATGTATTAAAAAGTGGGTGCAAGTGTAGCAAAATCGTAAGCTTTTCGCCAGAATTAGAGGGTCATTTAGAGAGATCTGACTATATCCAATCGAATCAATTTTAAAGTGCCTGACCTTCAAATAGAAAATTTGAAATTCGGGTATTGAAATTGATAAAGCAGAACACTAGTTGTAATTGTCCATATCTCGTATTTACAAATAATTATACTTCCACTAATTGTATTCAAAAACCGTAGACTTCATCAATGTATTTAACAGGCATGTATGAATATAAATGCTCTTTTCATATTACTAATTATTCGTTTAATTTTTACAGAAATCTCAGTAGTTATTCTGCTATTTCCAAATTAGATATAATGCTTATTATCCATAGGTGAGAGGTAGACATTTATAATACAATTTTAGTTAGCACCCTTATTTCGGACTCATTTATATCCATTTATATTTCACCATTTATTCCAAATTGTTATTATTATATTGTAGAATTAGTTTTGCAAATTACATGCATCATATATACACTGATGTCTTATTTATTTTTTTCATTGGTTCATCTATATTTTGGCATAATATTCACAACAATTTGTATATTATAAAAAGATTTAATTAGATTCATAATTATAATATTAACAATAATTTTTCATACTAAATTAGTGATATAATGCAAATTATCTAAAGGCACCTTTTCGACGAATATTAACTCAGAGTTTTGTTTAAAAAAAGCAATTCTTTGTGGTTTCGGATAAGATCTATAAAGTAACGCATCTTTTTTGCAAAATTATTTTTCGTATAGAAATAAAATTTTTTTTAAAAAACAACAGAAATATTCAAAAGATAAGCGATTTGGTTTTGCCTTATATTTATTAGAGATGTTAATGGTTGATCCAGTCCAATTCAATCTTAAAAATTGGATTAAAACCAAACCAAATATAAAAAAAAAAAAAAATTAAACTAGAATCAAATATAAATAAATATAAAATTAATTGAATTGAACTACAGTCGGATTCAATATTGATTTAATTCTTAATAGTCTAGTTAGTCCTATATAGTTTTATAGCAGTTTAATTCTAGTCCTATAGTAATTCAGTTCTATAGTTTTATTGGTTTAGACTAGGATCAAAATTTTTTTTTCTGGTTTCATGGTTATTTAGTCCCCAGTCTTAGACCAGTTTGGATCGATCTTTGTAAATAGTTAAAAATAAATTGAATTTATTAAAAAAAAACTTTTGATCATAATTTACTTTAATTATATGATTGAATTCTTACTATGTCAATAAGATAGAGATTAGGACCATTTTTGAGACTGAAACCAGACTAGATAGTTTGAAAAATATCAATAAACTGGTATTATTAACGACCAAGATGAACTGAACTAGACTGATCCATATTATCTATTCAAGACTAAACATTAATATACGTGTTGGTAGAGATATCAAAGGTCCAAATCGGTCCAAATCGGTTCTAAAAGGCAATTACAAATTGCTAATTCAAGAAAAGTATGATCACTTCTGCTAAGTGACCTATTCTAAAAACGGTTTGGAAACTTTTTAAATCCTAAAAACCAGCAATTTGTTTGGGACCGATATCAATAGTATATATATAGATAAGTGTAAAGGTGTTAAAAGCATGTTCTGTTCAATTCAGGCCCAGTCTTGGAGAAACTAGTTCATAACCGAGTTTAATTTTAGTTTAAATAAATGATGACTTCATATGGGCGAAAATCTCCAGTCGAAACACAGTGATTATTAAAAATTAGGTGATATTATAATCATGTACATATTTATAAGTAATTAGATTACAATCAGGTACATACGTACGTACAAAAAATTTGTAAGTACAGTAGTCAGGTTACAATCAGGCACATCGTACAAAAAATTTTAATCAGGTACGTACGTACGTACGTACATACTGTATAAAATTTATAAGCAATTAGGTCACAATTAGG